TTATTGGGCACTGTTGAATTTGGGGAGTCAAGTGTCAACTCTCCACAGAGTCATATCCTCAGCGCTGTTGCCCAGCCTGGCCTTGAGCGGAGCAGTTTCTGGAAGATCTTGGCTTCCAGTACAGGTGGCCTAAGTTTTGGATCACCTTGATTATTAGCATTTTTTTGTTTCATCTTTGCATTGTGATATGATCTTTCAAGACAGGTTTCTCCTCTCTGGGGCCACACAGGATAATTCTAGTCCTTCTCACAATTCCTTCTTCAAGTGGCAGGCTCCTTTGTGTAAACAGAATGCTATTTGCACTGCCTAGTTCTTTGGACTAGTGTGCAGGTGTGTGATGGTTAGTGTTTTTGAAGTTTCTTTTTTTCCCCCCAAGACAGGGTTTCTCTGTGTAACCGCTGTCCTGGAACTAGCTCTTGTAAACCAGGCTGGCCTTGAACTCACAAAGATCCGCCTACCTCTGCCCTCCACCCCCAAGTGCTGGGATTAGAGGCACATGCCACCCCTGCCCAGCCGTGATGGCTAGTTTTAATTGTCAGTTTGACAGAATCTAGAATCTCTGGGAAGAGTATTTCTATTTCAGTGAGGGATGCCTGAGCAAGGTGGACCTGTGGGCATGCCTGTGGAGGTTTGCCACGACTGTCTTCATTGATGGGGGGAGCCTGCTCTGAAAATGGGCAGCGATATTCCCTGGGTTTTGGCCCTTGACTAAGTAAGAGTATTCAGTTAAGCGACATGCGTGCGTGCGTGCATTTGTTTCTCAGCTCTCTGTAGATGGAATGTAGTGGGGTCAGCGGCTTCAAGTCCTTGACTCCCCTGCGTGATGGTTTCTCCCATAAGTCATGTTTTCATTATCACAGCAATAAAATTGGAACTAGGACATGGTTGTGTCTCCTACAATGAAATAATTCTCAGCAGGGACCTTTAATCCCAGCACTAGGGAGGTGGAGGCAGGTGGATCTCTGAGAGTTCAAGGCCAACCTCGTCTACAAGAGCTAGTTCCAGGACAGGCTCCAAAACTACAGAGAAACACTGTCTTGAAACCCCCCCGCCCCAAAAAAAAAAGAAAAGAAAAAATAACTAATTCTCTCTTGGAGAGAGGGAGGAAGGCAGTTTGAAACTTACAAACTTACAGGACATAAGTTCAGAAAATGATAAACCCTCCTTCCCAATGCAGCTCAGTAGAGCTGACTGCTAGTTAGCCAGGGGCTCCAAGGGTGCACTTTTTAGAGTGGATCGTCTCGCAAACTAAGATGGACTTACAAGTTGATGTCGCTACCTATGAGCCGCCTGCGCTCCTGTAACCCTAGTGAGCCCACTTGCCTGCCACTAAGGCAGAATTGTTTCTTTGGTTTGTTTATTCATATCTTCCCAGGAAAAGCCATGCAGTTACGTTAACATCAGTTAACAACGGGAGTGAATTGCCCTTGTGATACTAGGTTTGGGGCACGTGAGCATCTTGGATGGGCACCAGTATTGTTCTATCCTAAGATGCGCACAGTCCTATGTGAAGCCAATGAAGACTGCTGAAGTTGGGCTCTTGGATGCCTCCTAAAGATCTCTGTGTGGGCTAAAATCTTGATCCTCGGGGTAATGGGAATTTTAGGAAGTGGGGCCTTGTGGGAGCTTCCCAGGTGACAGAAGAGAACTGTGAGCCCCCGGCTTCTTCCTATCTTGGTTTTGTTCTTGGCCTCGATGGAACAGTTGTCTCATCAAGTGCTTCTGCCATGGGGTACCATTTCTCTACAGGTGAGAAACAATGGGCTCATTATGACAGGCTGAAATCTATAAAGGTCTGAGCCACCCACTCCCTCAGTGAAAAACCACCCCTATTATTATTATTATTATTATTATTATTATTTTTTGAGACAGGATTTCTCTGTGTAGCTTTGGTGCCTGTCCTGGAACTAGCTCTTATAGACCCGGCTGGCCTCAAACTCAGTGATTTGCCTACCTCTCTGCCTCCCAAGTACGGGGATTAAAGACTTGCATCACCACCGCCCAGCCTTTTTTTTTGTTAGTTATTGCTGGTATTTTAAGTTTTAGAAAACTAGACCAAGGATAAATGTGGTCTGTGGGTCAGGGAGCTTTCATTTTTTGTGTGTGGAAATTATAGGATGGATCTATCAATGTCTGCACTGAGCCAGAGGCAATATCAAGTCACTGCGCTTGCCCTGATGGTCCTGTTTATGTTTTACTTTTTCGGGGAGGGCAGGGGTCAGATAAAGGAAACAAGCGTGAGACTAGGACCTGTTTCACAGAGGTGTGTGTCTCAGGAAAGTTGCACCGGATGGGGGCAGGGGTCTGTGTCTGGTGAACAGCATACTAGGGAACAGAAGCAGGAAAGGGCAGCCTGCGCAAGCTGGGGCTGGGGCTGGGGCTAGGTGGGGCTGGAAAGGCTAGACTCAGAGGCAGGGAGTGGTAAGGGAAGGTTGTATTGGAATGAACCTATAGGGCTGGCTGTTGTATGGAGTGAGGTTGGAACTGGATGGACAAACAGCAGGCATCTAACTGGGAATCTGCCAAATAATTTAAGGCCAGAAATGCCAAGGGTCTGATCTGCTGTTGGGGAGGCCAGATGTGGACCGATCTGAGGGAAGCAGGGAAAGGAATGGGCGGGTGGGTTTTAGATTTTGAGGCCTTGTGGGAACAAGGGCACTGAAGGAGCAAAGGGGACTTTCGGGGAGAAACCTGGCAGGGCTTCAGTCCCTGGTGCAGAAGTGCAGGGAAGTTGTAGCCTGGCCATAGCAAATTGAGCTGGTCTTAAACCTCAGAGGGATGTCCCAGACCAAAGAGGATGGGGGGATGGCACTGGCTTATCCTCGAGTGGTTGTCTTTCAAGTTGATGTGCTAAGACAACTAAGTAGCTGTCTATACCTTGTTTAGCGATGCAGCCTTGGCTATTTTTGACTAATAGGGTCTTAGCTGTATGTAGCTGGGAGCTCAAGCTGGGAGTGGCCAAAGCTCCTGATGCAGCCTCAGATCTGAGGATGGGGACAGGTAGAGCCCAATTCTCTGCATCCTACTGGGTTCTTGATAGTTAAGCTTCAAACCCAGCAATTAGTGCTGATCCTAACGCCCCCTCTGCCACCTTCCCTTTTTTAGCAACTAACATGGAAGGCACTTCTTCAAACAAAACCACAAGCATAGCCCGACACCACTCACCACGTTATTAATTCCCAACTTAACAGAAAGCAAATGCTTACGTGGGCCAGTTAGACCTCTCCGAGAGTATTTATTCTGAGTGACTAAACTAGACACTTCCTGTTCAGCGGTGAGGAAAATTGCTGTGTTATCCCAGGGAAATGTCAAGATCACTAAGTGTTGGCGCTTTCTGACCCGGGTTCTGGGGAACAAAGTCTCCACATGGTTCTCATAAAAATATACATCAGAAATGGCTTCAAACTGAATGTCAAACTTAGTTAAAGGTACAAACCCCCTCAAAGTTAGTTTGAATGTCCAACAGAACAACCAAATGCACACCAGCATGAGGATTTCCCACCCCTTCGGGTGCACTGGGCTGCAGTGGACTTAGCAACTTGGGGTGTGTTATTCTAAGGATAGAAGTTGGGCCCCCTTGGCTCTGTCAGAATGACCTCTGCCAGCTGCCAATAGACTCTGGAGAAACTCTCCTGCTTTGAAAAAAAAAAAAAACATTTAAAACACCCGATGTTCTCACCTCAGCTGATCTGGGTTATAACCCGGCTACACATATAAAAACGGCGTAAGTCAGTTCAATTAAACATGAAGATATGTTTGCATTTTTTTGTGACATGCCAAGAATCATTTAGTTCCCCCTCCCCCCCGGGGGGGGGAGTTGACAGGGGAGATGGGATTTGTAGAGCAGTTTAGTTACTTAAAAATATCAGTTTCATGATGTGTAATCACACATGTGGATGCATCCGACTGGTAATTTTCTGAGCATCCTATGTCAGAATGCCTGGACCAAGGCATCCTTCCAGCCTCAGCGGGTGGAGGATGCAGAGGGAGCGGTGGAAAAGGGAGGCTGGCCTTTGATGTTTTATAATGAAGTGGTTCGTGACTCTTGTTGTACTTTATAGCGCATGTTTTATTTCCAAAATGAACTTTTGTAGTTGTTTGAGTTGGCTTTCGATCTCCAAAAGCTGGGTAGTACTGAAGGAAGCCTATTTAACATTTTTTAGACATTTTATTTTTAAACCGAGGGACTAAAAGCTCTTAGGGCTCTGGGCTGAGGGTAGTGGCCTGTTTACATGTATATGTGATGTGCATGCCTGTGTTTGCATATGAAGGCCTGAGGTCGCCTTGGGCTTCTTTTTTCAGTTTTGCTAGCTATCCTGTCTTGTGAACCCTATCTCCACCCTGCTAGCTGGGGTTACAGATAGGGTGCCTCATCTACCTTTAACTGGGTTCTGGGCCTTGAACTTTGGTCCTCATATTTGTACAAGTACTTTAGCATGGAGCTATGCCTCCAGCCCCGGATCTGAGTTGATGCATACGGATGCCCGATTTTCTCTATTACTTTTGCCTTTTGACGCCTAGTATCTTTGCTAAGAGAGACATTGGCAAAAGCTGTCTGAGTGCTCCTTGAGTCTGATCACCTCTATTCAGCCTGCTCCTACTGGACAGGAGTATTCTGCCGAAGTCCTGACTTCCCTAACGAAGCCATGGATTCCAGCACTGCTAACTACAAAATGAAACACCACCTTGCTCTAGTCCTCCTCTGGCCAATGTATTGGTTTGTTCAAAGGGCTTTGAAATGAAGCTGTTCTGAGGATCTGAATTGTAAAGGCACTTAGGAAAGTTATTAGGACACTATTTGGTAGACAAAGTTAGATTGAGAATTTTGTGCCAACAGTCTCACTATGATGCACGGATTGAATGTTCTGTGTCATCTGCAGACATCCGAAGCCTTACACACAAAGTATTCTTGTGAAAGACTTTGGATTCCATTCTTGGACACCTTGACTACTAGATGCTTTCATATCCAACACAAGGACCACATAAAGGATTTTTAAAAGTTACCAGTTGGGCATATCAATATTTATTGAAATACTAAAAACAAAATCCATATTGAGAAATTCCTGGCAAGAACTGACATGACAATATGTATTTCACTGATACAGTAAGCACACGGCAACGAGAAACCGACTTCACACTCTGAACACGGCATGAACTCAAGTCCAAGGCAGCTGCGGGAGAGCCCTAATCCAAAGATTCAGACATTACAGACTTGTCTGCCGAGACCAACGACGGGAAACCCAGCTCAGCTGAAAACCTTCCCAGGTGAGTCCGTCTTCAGTAAGACTAACTGATAAGGCAGTTGGCTACCTTACAAACCAGCTACCAACTGCCATCAGACCACTGGCCAGCTCTGAAAGGGCCATGGATGCTGGGCAGCACTACCTGCTTCACTGCTTCTGCCCTCAGCATGGACGTGACCGTTGTGGCCTTTTAACCACTCTCAGGGTAAAAGCCACTAGAGCGGCGTTTGACATCTTTAGGCTTAATGTTCAGTGGGGAGTACAATGCATTTAAAATAAGGACACATGGATTTTTTTTTCAATGTTACAAACCCTCCAAATAACCATCCTCCTAGCCTCTGCCCACATAGAGACGGGCTAGAGCTCTCTCCTCAACCACTGACATCACCATTCCTTCCCCGTGTGCCTTTATCCAACTTGGTTTTTGGTTGGGAGGCACAGCCATGCTTCTCTTGGATTTCATGCTTTGGATCTGAGCTCTAATGAATGATTCCATCCTTCTTTGAACCATGAAGATAACACTGAGAGTCAATGCCCAGCACAGCTAATGTGCATCCCTCATGGATATTAGAGGTGATTAATAAGTATAATAAAATAATAATCTTTGTACACACGGAAGTAATAACTAATGTCTTTGGTATACAACTTACAATGTTTGGAAAGGAAAACCAGGTAAGACTCTGTCTTGATAAAATGACTTCAAAATAAGGAAAAGCTACAAGTCATGAGATTTACAATGGCTATTAAATAAACTACAGAAAGATGATGGGAATTTCCAGACATGTGATCAAGTGGATGGTTTTAATCATCAAGACCCTTCTCTACCACTGAACTGTGTTCCACTAACTTGAAGACATGCTATAGTAAACACGTATTTGGTTTCTTCAGTCTTGGCTCTATCTTATACAAAGGGGAACCCAAGGAACAATAAATTAGCATAATTTTCTACAGTTGAAACTATGATATACAATATAAATAAACTGTTCCAGAGCCAGAAACATTTGTGAAAAAAAAAAAAAGAACAGGGAGATACTTTTTTTTTTTTTTACAGTTTCTACAAGTGATTGTGCTGCTGATCTCGGCAAATTAAAGACGAAATGAGAGTCCCCTTCTTGATTTTAGTGTCTCACGACATACAGTGATTTAGTCCTGTGAAAAATAACTACTAACCAGAGAAATAACACTAAAGAAATGACCGCTTTTGCTTTCTTGTAATAGCAGAGTCACCCCCAAACTCCCCCCCAGGACCTAAAGAATGTAAACACTATATTTCTTTTGACTTTAAAGTAGTAATACTTTATTTTCAACACATGTTCGTCCCCATCTGCAGAGCTCCCTTTTGGGACCAGGAAGTAAGGCAAGGCTTCCATACCTGTGGCCATCGCGTGTTAATACTGACAGCATTGGTTGGAGAGAGTTTGCCACCTCTGCCCTCCAGCAGTTTTGTTCTACAGCAGACTTTGGTCTATGACTTAGGCCGGTACCACGCTCTTCCATTGCCCTTCGCAGGAGATGTGAATGACTTCACTGTCTTTCCAGGCCGTGAGATTCACTGCTTTTGCACCCCAAGTTTAGGGGGTGCTTTACCAACCAACCTTGAGTCAGCTGCCTTCACAGCTCAATCTACTTTCATTTGGAATTGCTTAACGTGCTTGACTTTTCGGTGCCTTTAGACTGTGACTATTTGACATCCCAGCCAAGGATGTTTAGTGTTTTATTTTTTTAAGTGAACTACAAACCCTGATGACTACACAGACGGATGTGTACTAAGAAGCCTCTTGGGCAAAAACTTATGAAACCCAACCATGCCAAAGCTCTATTTCAGCAAAAATAGCAGAAATAAGATCTAGCTTGCTTGTTGGGAGTATTTGCTTAAATTTGTTTGATTTCCTTTAATATTAAACTAATGCTTATATAGAAGAGAGAGACTGCCTGCTTTAGTTAAATTACGAACACACGACAAAACAACTTCAGAACATTTAAAATGGCAAGCTGACATATTTATACACTGCTCTTATTAGTTGCTGGCAGGTCTAAGACAGACACGCAGAACTCAGGGTTTAGTGGAGCTACTACTGGGTGTGGCTGAACGAAGTCCTTAGGATAGCTTCCGAGCTCACAGGTCAGAAGGTGTGGGGCCTTCTGGGAGGAGGGGGGGCTGCCAAGGCACAGCCCGTGTATTCTTTGAGAGTTGTTCGGCTTCACCATGGAGGAATTCTGGACACGTCCAATTAATAATACCGGCCAACTGCTGAATTTTTTAACAGATCAGTTTAAATATACAAGGAATGTTCTGTCCGTTTCTATTGTGATGTGGTATTGGACTCTGTGAGTTCAATCCACCCCGTGACAATGTCTTTCTTATGAATCCTCGGGGGACGGGAAGCCTTTCATTCACAGTTTGCAGTACGAATACCCTGATAGATCATTTTTTTGCTATTAAGTATTTGATTATTAAGCTTTTTAAATCTCAGTGTCTTTAAACCAAGTTTGTAATTTGCATTGCTTGGAGCAGTTCAGAGTATTATGCTTTCTTCTTCCTCCTCCTCTCTCCCTCCAGTCTCTGTATTAATCTCTGTGTTCCAAGAGCAAGCTTCCAGGGGTGGTGACTTAGGCTCTTTTTGCATGCAGCATCTCAATGAGCAGGTTATTGTAGGGGACATCCCCGTTCAGGTGCTTGTAGTAGAGGTACTCTTCAGCCTGCATGCTGATTGCCCGGATTTCCGGCAGCCGAAGAAGGAGCTGTCCGAATTTCTCCGTCTGCTGTGGGTAGTTGCAAATCGTGTAGTCTAGCAGAGCCGCATTCACCTGTTCCTGGACACTTTCCACCAGCTGGAAGTTCTCGAGATTCTTGACGTCTGCATTTAAAAAAAAAGAGGCAAGATTTCAACGACGTGTTTTTGGTTTTTTTTTTTTTCCCTTTTAGATTCCCATTTACTAAAGCCATGTTCAGTTCATGGTTGCCTTGTTCTCTTGCTGTAAAGTGTGCTTTCCACACTGCCGAGCAGTCAGGAAGCCCTGCTCAGCACACTTTCTGGGCAAGGGCTCGCAAGAGAACTTTGCAAGCTGGTCTGGTTGAAATTTTGCATATACCTCAAATCAATTAGACACCAATGGATTTTGAGCAAGGTCAACTCTTCTCATATCTTACAAAAGGAAAGACTCGAGGATTCTTAAAGTAGAGGGATCATAATATATTGCCAGCAAATGAGTCCCTAGAGAAAGACCTATCTTAAACCAGTATATTACACAATTCATATAATACAGTATTAATTTTTCTGACCCAAGGTGAAATCTGTGTCCAGGGTGTGATGTAGTTAATTCTAATAAAAAGTGACAGGGTTCTTGTTTCTGTTTGACATTTTCTAAATGATTCTGAAAGCCTTTGACTTGTCTAGCCTATGCTAATGAACCATCTGGTACACTCCAGTGACTGCCAACTGAAGATTCGCTACTGGGAACTCTCTCAAATATATATCTCAGTGACTAATGATCTTTATCAAATGAAAGCCTTGTCCTGTAGGCAGAGTACAAGCCAGGATGCCTGGTGCCCTTTAACCTGAATGCAGTTTCATAAGGCTGACTCTTCATTTTATTTTTTCTTCTGGTCCTGGGTCACGGGTATGAAGAAGTTGGACACAGGCAATTCATCCTGCCCAACTCTGGGTGATCATCCATTTTTAAAACATCTGCGCTGGAGGTCCTTCCACATATTGTTTAAGGAAGAGACACGGTATCACATACAAATGCACACAGATGATCGACGTGGGAAAGATGGAATGTCGGCATTTCACTTCTAGAGTTTATTTATGTTCCCTGGATAACTTTTTTTTACGAAGTGTGTATAGAAGCTGCTGGAAAAAATATACAGATGTGCACGTGTTTACTCTGTGTGAGGAACATATATAAACAGACACAGCCATCCTTGCCCTTTTTTTCTCTAATTGGAGAAAAATAAACAAGATTCTGAAGTAAACCAAATACTACGTATGAGCAAAATGAGTAAAAGGTTAAATGTGCTAGATGAAAGGTCACTGTTACCATAGTAACTCACAACCAATATGTTAGGCGTCGTTAAATTAGCCTGTGCTATGCCTGGGTTCCGCTTACCCGTCTCTCGATGAGTCTGCAATAAGGTCACCTTACGTGTACCACTGCACTGTGTCCGGGTGGATCTGCGTGTTTATATTTGAACCGCGACTCTGTACCAACTAGCAGCTTCTCTATCACCAAGTCTCTGGTCCCCATTCAGACCAGCGAGGAATCGACAAGAAGTAGATACGTAATATGGAGCTGGTGACCAAAATCCTAGCTCAAAGTGAGAGAGATGGGGGTATAAAAATACCTGAGTGGGACAACCAGGCACGTGCTACACCGAAGCTTTGTACCATTTGTGGCGCCTGGCACTTGGCACATACGGCAGTTTACAGCCAACCAAATACTTACAACTTAAAGTGAAATATTTTTAAAGTGGGTTCAAGTTACTTAGAAATATTTAGAAATATGGCTATGATCTAGAGTTGTGTGTGGTTCAAAAATTACCAAGTGTAAACGATCAGAAATCCCTTCAACATGTTCTGCTTCAGTAGGAAAGAGAACTCCACCTGAAGCTACGTTAGGGTGATTTAAAGCGAACTACGCATCAATTCACATGTCGGTGAAAGATGCGAACGAGGCAGAAAGGCTAGAACCGTCGGAGACCAGCAGGAGGATGGAGGAATTTGAGCACTATGAAATAGAAGATAAGAGGAGTTTTTTTGGGGGGGGGGGGAAGTTGTCTTTGAAACAAGTATGAAACAGATTATTTGTATACCACTATTCTAAACTGAGCACTGAAAAATTCCAGATTATCATTTATTGCTAACTTCTGAGGAGAATACTGGTCCAAATTGGTACTTTCTCCGAAAAATTCAAAACATTTCCAGCTTTTATAGGAGGAAAGCACATAGGTTTCACCAATTTTGACCAAATACACCCCCTCCAATTATCAGGGTTGGACACACATGACTAAATTATCTCCGTAAGTTACTTCAATGATTTTAGCATTAACTATATAATAAAATGTATGCTATTAATTGTCCCCAAAGACTATGCAGGGGGCAGAGATCCTTATACTTAAACTGTAAGATTTTTTTTTTAAAAAGAAAAGGAAAGCCAGGCATGGTGGCACACACGTGTAATCTCAGCACAGAAGCAGCAGTAGCAGGAGGCCTGAATTCCATGCCAGCCTGGAGCACACAGCCAGAACCCGAGAGGGAGAGAAAGGAAAAACGAAGGCAATGCTGATGAGCTGGCTCCCTTTTGCTGGCAAGCAGTGGCTGGATCGTTGTGCTCTTGTCTGCCTCTCAGCTGCCTCCGTCTAATAAACTGTCCATCTCTCTCCAGAGACAACAAGCTGCTGGGGAGAGGACCAAGCATTGGTCGAGGGAGCCTCAGAAAATACACTAATTACTAATCCTTGACATTGCTGCTGCATTTTCATGACAACTGTGGAATGGCTAGTTTGCATTCCTTTTCAACTAGAAACTAATTTTTTGAAAAAAAAATTTATATATACAATAGATTTTTCTTTAAAAAAAAAAACTGCAGTAAAGTATTTTAAAGGTCATAATATTGACGAGTCAAATCACACTGTGGTTAAGTTTGCAGTCCACATAGCAAGACTTGCTCTACGAGCTTTCCCAATGAGAGTTTCAGTTCCTTGGTTGAATTCATGCTTGCAGTCCCATGGGAATTGCAGCTCCTCCTGTGTCTATTGAATCTCTGGGACTGACAAATAAACCTTGGTTTTTCCACCCAATCTAAATGGGCCATAGAGAAGAGCTCACAAGGACCTAAACACAAGAGATTAGGTAAATACCAAAATATCGGTGAAAATACCTCCTCCCAGGAGACCTGGAATTTTCTGATATGGTTTGTATATATTTTTCCTCTTTAGGAAAGGATTCAAAAACTCGAGTGTACCCCTCCAATAACCACTGAATTAGTTTTTTTTTTTTAAAACCTAAGTTCATCTCCTTTCATGAACATTTAAAAGTGCAATTTAAATCGGCAAGAGCTGAGACAGGCAGCAGTGCCCTCAGTATCCAGTTGTGACACATCTGGATTCCAGCAGCCCCAGCTGGAGGAAGAGTGACGCCCGCCAGAACTCCCACTAGCTCTGGGGCGTTTCACACCTGATCTAGACAGCTTGCATTTGGCACTCTGCACTCCTTGGAATTTCCCTAACCTTCATTCTCAGACGATCTAAAACCCACTAGTTGTTGATTGCGGATTCAGTGTTGGAGAATGTATGCAGACGGGCGGAGGCACCCCAACCCCTTCTTACAGCCTTTAACGTGTGATGACTGGCCAGAGCATTCGGAGATTCCCTCAAGTATCCATTGCTTCTCTGTTCCGCTTTATGCACTCAGGGACTAATTACCAACTTTTCCTATGAAGCACACTACGCTAAGCCCACAGTGGGGTGCTCTGGTTTTCTTTCTCATCCTTATTGAGAAGTAAACCCTTAGGCCTTCTGGAATATATTACTGCGCAGACTTCTCTGTCATCTGCAGGATTTGGCTCTCTCTGAAGATGAACCTTGGCCTCCCTGGTCACTGTCACGGGAAAGCCAGCAACCTTGCTATTGCACACACTTTCAGAGATGGGCCTTTTGCTGAGCAAGGGGCCTGGCGGGGACCAGGACTAAGAGTCTTTTCCTGACACACAGTCCTTTATAAAACAGAACCAAGGGAAAGACGGACTGTTTTTCCTTGAAGCTTTTGGAGAGAATGACGGGATATAAATATATAGGCACTGTCACGTGGTTTGCCTGCAGAAAGCCTTTTCCTTTGATACGAAGAACTTTCCATGGGAAGTTTTAAAAGTATTTTAAGTGGATATATTTGAATAATTTGTATAAATTTATAAGTTTTGGAAGTTGGAGAGAAAGCTAATTCTTGTATTAACAAAATTTACTCAGGGAAAGAAGGGTTGGGGTGACGGCCAGAAATACAAAGGCAGACTAGATCCAGCGGAGAGGTTAGGCTGGTAGTCTAGAGCCTTGACAGGGGACGTGGAGCTGAAAATGCTGGTATCAGTGCGAAGGTTTGGAAAGGCTGGGTGGGCTCTGCTGAGCGACTACTTACCAAGAACTTATGAGAAGATGAGATACACATGATGACAACCAGACTTGGAGATATTCAGTGGGGTTTCCAAGATGTCAGGAAGACAGGTTAACACTTATCAGGCACTAATCAATGTGCCTAGTTATTTCCTTAAAAAATAAATCTCAGCCGGGCGGTGGTGGCGCACGCCTTTAATCCCAGCACTCGGGAGGCAGAGGCAGGCGGATCTCTGTGAGTTCGAGACCAGCCTGGTCTATAAGAGCTAGTTCCAGGACAGGCTCCAAAACCACAGAGAAACCCTGTCTCGAAAAACTATAAAAAAAAAATCAATCAATCAATCAATCAATCTATCTCATGGAGAGGATATCCATATTCCCATTGACATGTGTGTATAAATGAAGTGGAAAGGGCCATGGGCCAAACTCCATGCTCAGAGGACAACTTTGTGAAGTTGATTCTTTCCTTCCACTTTTATATGGGTTCTGTGGATTGAATTCCTATCACCGGCCAAGTGTCTTTACTTGCTAAGCCATCTCACCAAGCCAATACTTTCATTTTTTAAAACAAAAAGCTCAAGGCTCAGTGATCCAGTCAGGAAAGCAGATCCCCCATTTATGAGCAGGTATGGCTCACCCCATCAGCCCTCGAGTCCATACCACAGGACTTCCCTTCAGCGGGGCCAGAACCTCAGTCTTGCGGGTTTCTAATCTGCAGACAGGGCCATCCTGGCTCAGCAGGTAGTTGAGCTT